GTTATATATCTTTTATAGTGTTAATACCAGTACGCGTAATTCACCGGCTTTTAGGCTATGTAAATAGTTAATCGCCAAATGTTAATAATAATATTTTAATCCCGTCTACCGTAGATACTGTTGCTATAACCTATGTAATTAATATTTAACCGTACTTAACGGGGTATTCGGGTATTGAATGTTTGAGTGGATAACGCGGATGTACTATAGCTTTAGGCTTATATTGTCAGCGACATCTAGAGAGGGGGTTCTAAAACGTATACTCGGGTTTGTAGTTGAACAACTGTAAAGTGGTAACTAGAAATAAAAGCACAAAGCCACACGAAAAAAGACGTCATCTAATATTATTATTGTTATTTTTAACGGTAACCGAAGCTGAAGGGAATAAAAGGAAAAAATTGTTATGGGTTATAAAATAATATAATTCAATTAGAGCGAAAACTCGGACGGATTTTCACGGAATACGTTTCGTTTCCAGTCGCTACTTTAATCTTCAATAAAAAATATATAATTTTTTAGATAACATTTCAATGAGGATATTTTATGTCTTAACTGAAAAGAAACAAGGGTTTTCGAATTAAGTCATAATTAACAAAAAATTATACTAAAAAGAGCATTGAAATATTATAACAAAACAAGTAGCGGTTAAAGAATACCATTAAGGAAAGGGGAAATTTATAAAAAAACTAAAATTTGATTCTTAACAAGGTGCAATAATTCCGTTATTAAATTAATTAATTTACGATTTAAAAAAATCTTGGACAACAAAAACAGCCCCTGTCTTCCTCAAAACCTTTACAGCACAACAAATTGAAAAAATAAAAATGCATGAGTATAGAGAAGCGGATGTTAAAACATATTATATAACTTATAAGTTAGGCTTTTTGAATGCGGCACACGAGAACTGAGAGATAATAAATTGGCTCTTACAGCTGGACAAAATACGTTTGAGAATAAAACCTACATGGTATACTAATAACGTGGCAAAAAATTAAACTTGTAAATTAAAACACCATATACATAATGGACCAAAATTACACTTTCAGGACAAAAATTGAAAAACCCTTTATGTCAAAAGTTCAAAAAAAATTAAAAAGTGGGATTGGTCTTTTCCGGCGCAAGTCACAATTCGCAAATATATAGTGATTTACATATTTGTAATCGCTTATACCGTCGTACATATTAAAGTAGTAAAACGATATCTTCACTCTAGGTACAATTTTTTAATACTGGTTTTTTTGTTTGTATTTTGTTTCTTTTGTTATATCTAGCAAAGAATACTCGAGAAAGTAATTTATTCCAGCTTGTACCGGGAAAGTTTTTTAATAAAAGGTTCGGATAGGCATATAACTTTCTTCTGCGTCTATTGTTATTTTTTCCTTTGACCATTTCTAATGAAAAAAGTTCTTTGTATTTTTATTAAAAAAAAACTCTTTTTACTTTTTTTCGACATTTTTAAAAATGATCACTGTTAATTTAAAAAAAACAGAAGTCGTTCAATGTTAAAACTTATGCTGCGTTTAAAGGGTTTACGCAGTACGTTTGGTTCTAAGTTCTAATGCCGTAAATTTTAAATTACATACATTTTTTTTTTACCTTTTAGTGGTCAATTTCCCCGATTGAAGCAATTATCTGGCTATTGTTTATTGTACTAATACCTGGTTGAAACCCGTTTCACTTTATTATCATCTATTCTTTAAAGGGTTGTGCAATTTTTCGGTTAGTCGTACTTCATTATTTTATTAACTTTGCAATGTCCAATGACCGGTTTGATGGTTTTGTTACCAACTATTTTTCGAAATTTCCGTAACTCGATTTAATCATTTATCTATTTGAATAATTTACATACATTACGTTCAAATCGTTCATCATAGGTACACATTGGTCGACGAAATAATAGTTTTGTACTGTTGTTATGAATATTATAGACAACTTGTCATTAATCACGTAGTTGTAACTCGGTTGATGTATATCTGTTATAAATTGCGTCGAATGAAACAAAACGCTTTTCGGATCGTTTTCATGCAGTATGTTATGTATGATATATAGTAATGACCGATAACCGAATATAGTAATGATAATATTACACCGCTAAACGCTTTTATGTTATTTAATATTGATTATTATCATATTATATGTGTAGAACCTAATTTTTGGTAACTCACGCTCAGGCCCGTACTGGCTATCTCTAGGGGGCAAACAATTAGTTTAGGACGCCAAATAAAAAAAAAATCTGCATAACCTGTGGACTGGCAGGGGAGGGGGTTCTGTATTTTGATCGCCTAGGAGAATGAGATTTTTTATTTTTATTAAAAAAGTACCGTCATATTTCATTTGTAAGTATCTTATCAAAAATGGGATCTGCGCTACTTGTATAGATATTTTATTTATTTGAGAGGCCATCGCTTTACTTTATTTCAAGACGGTTAAGTACATTTTGTCGGCCAATATTTATTATTAAATTTTTACATTAGAAATTACATTTTTTTTTTTAATTCAGTTTGTTCATACATATATTGTTTTTTTCTTTCGTTACTTTTGTTTTGTTTCATTTACTTTGATTTTGTTTACTAAATTATGAAATAGTAGAAACCATTTTTTTTGTTTTTCATATCATGCTTTTTTTGTATTAATTTTTTATGTTTCATGTTTATACATTTTTGGTAATTAATTGCCGAAATTTATTATTTATCCGTTTTTAATATTTATAAATTTACTGTTGTATTGTGATCTTTAAAAAAAAATTTTTTAAAAATTTATAATTTTGTTGTAATTGTAACATTCATATTTTTCTTATCCTAATTATACGCGTGTACATACGGTTTCTGTCTGCGATAATCAACAGTATATTATAATTTATACAATTTCAAGGTATAATAAAATGTTTAATAAAGAATAATATAACATATTTAGACACAACAATTGACATCTTAAATCAGTCAGTTTTTGCATAGTTGACAAATACATGGCGTTAGTTGGTCTGTTATCAAATATAAAAATCACATTAAAACATATTAAGACTTCTCTGACGACCGGTTTTAAATGACATGCATGTCCACAGTACTATGAGTATTGTTTATTTTAATTAAACTGTTTATTTTAATTTAACTGTGCATCTGGGTGTGTTAGGTTTTTTTGTTTACATTGGAAATGACCCTTCTGCTTTTATCTATTCTGTTGACTGTTCTTACTTCAAATGTACGCGTCGAAGGGTGACAGACCGGAACGCGTCAAGTTTACACATTGTTCAAAACGATTTTCGTAAGATAACTATAATATACACCCTAAATTTACCAAACTTGATTTATGCGCGTAAACAGTACGTATTGATTGCGCGGAGATAGTCGACCGACCTAGCCGAACTATAGTATAATATTGTAAAATTGATTTATGGCCGAGCCAGACGGTAATTTTGTCTACCGTAGTTTGTTTATCTATACTACGAAAGTTTTCCGGATATGACCTCGCCGCGGGTCGTACGATTCTCCAGGGGACCAAGATCCGTAGGCAACTATACTATCAATAAGTATGATGTAGATCAAGTATCTATCTACTACCCGCGGTATCGAAAAACGCGACGCCGCAAGTCGAGTTACTTTATTTCGTTGTTTTTTTTTTATTATCCGTCGACCGAAATGCGATGTACGGTGTCTTTTTATGGCACGTAGGTAATAAAATCTTACTGCCCGAAGCATGTTGTCGGTATTAAAGGATCGAGAGGATCTCAGTTTTCCGCGTACTCCCCCGTGGGAAATTCACTGTGTATTAAATTTTTTTTCCCTCCAAGACATTACACGCTGTGCGATAATATCGGTTTTGTGATATTATACTATAACGCTATGATATTATTATCCAGCGTTGACATTTTGTTCTAGTTTGGCGTCGCGACGGTGCCGAAGAAGTTTTGGTTTTACAATGATGTGTGTTAAACACTATGGCTTTTTTTCATCCAGACCGATTTACTCGAATAGCATGTCTATCGATCGGTCTGCGTTTACGTTACTTGGGCGGGTAAAAAGTTGAAAAAGTCAATTCATTCACCCCCCGAAACCGGGAAAATTCGGAAAAAAAATTCAAATCCAAATTTCGATCACCCATTTATTGCCGTGGTCTAATCGGTACCTATTGGGTTTGATTTTCACATGAATAAGCGCAGATTTTTTACAAGTTATATTAGGTAGATCTCTAAATATAGCCTGTTGGACAAATTTTGTTATGAAGTAGCACATCTCTCTATAGGATCAGCCCACTTCTTTGCCGGGTCTACCTCTAAACCACTCTACATTAATCACTCTGACAGTTTTACTATTTGTATTGCCTCCGTTTTCTTTCCACATACCCAACCATATTTTCCCAGTACCACTCAGTATTCTATGATGCATTCCAAACCCTTGATGTATGTACTCGTTCCTAATTCTCTCTAACCTTGTAACTCCACACATCTATTTCGACATTCGCATTTCTGTTATTTTTTTCAATACACTCATTTTAATACTGCAGCTGTCTTCGGTGTTATAATCGTACAATCGACATTTTATAGGAAACGCCCAATTAACGTGTTTTGTGAAATCAACATTTTTTTCTGTCACATACTGCAACCGTTTTCTTGCCGGTTTTATTGTGACGATATATCATATAATTTATCACGTAACTTTGTCCAATACGGACAACGGATGTACAATAACAATTAAATTGATAATCAATTAGAGGATGTCGGTTTTAGGTCATCATATTTGACTGGATAAATAAAATATTGGCATATTTTGGCATGGCAATGACAAGAGCGCCTGGTATTACCGTACACATTCTCACCGGGCCAAGTGGTAGCACTGTTGAAACAAACAACGCCGGCTAGCCGATGTCTAGACGGCCGCATGTCATATTATATCCGCTGGTTCACGAGGGAATCCGCCGTCTTCGTTGGCCGTCGCTAACGCCGCCGCCGCATCAGCTGAGGGCCGCGCCACCTTCTCTCGGCATTCGACCGCGTGTCGGCGCGGCAGTTACCACTTACCACTCACAGCCGGTAAGTTTTAGTGATCTGTAATCACGAATCAGTATTGTCGCGCGCGTTCCTCATAGCGGTCCGGTGTGCGTTGCCTACGCTGTCGTAGTATGACATTCGCGTTCACTTGCCGCTGGGTCGATCTCGTTTTCGCGGATATTTCGACGTGAACAGAACACGACCCGAGTCATTCTCATTTCTCAACCATGCATCTTCCGTCGTCCGTCGTCGTGGCCGTGTCGTTCCTGGTGGCGTCCGGCTCCATCAGCGGCGTGCAGTGCGCGTACTGCGACGACCACAAGTTTAAGGAACTGCGGCCCGGCGTGCAGTTCACCAAGGAACTCAGTTCGTCCGAATACGGTGCCATCAGTTCGTTCAAGACTCTCCACTGTTGCGGCAAGAAGTACCTGAGTCTCGAATGGTGAGTCTTAAAACGGATTATAATTAATAACGGTGACAAAGTGCAGCTGTGTGTAACACTAAAATATTATCCGCCCCTCAATTATTAAGGCTCCCACTTAAGTAGCACAGAAAATCGAAAATATGTTGGGTTGAACTAATGTTGAGACATTATCGGGCGACACTTAATGTCAGGTATAATTTATACTTAATACGGTGAAGTTACCATATTTTGTACTTCAAGAGTGTAAAAAAAACATTGATAGCAATGGTAATTTTGTGTTTATTACTAATTACGTTAATTGATCAATTATTTTATTACTCATAAATTTCCTAATTTTTCACTCGAGTTTTCTCAGTGCGAACCGACTACTTAGTGTTTCGTTATAGAATGTAGGTTACATTAGATAAATGAAAATAAAATTATAATATTATGTACTTCTGTCGTTTATAAACATAGCTACTTTGTTACTTATAAAGTTAAGTATAAAATATTTGTTTGTGCGCTTAAAGTAAATGTATGTGTCGTTATAGGTTGGGATAGTGTTTGCATAAATTGTCTAAATATTTGAGTTAGCTCTTCGTCTTACACGAGCGGGATCGTTCATTCTTATCCTCGTGTTCCGCTCTTCCTTGATGGCTTCCGCCCACTTCTTTGGCAAACCCATTCGCCAGCTTCCTCTCGAGTCAACCGGGTGTGATATTTCAAATTTTCGAGTACATCCGCAGCCGAGTCTCCGACGAACGGCCGGAACTTGTTTTAAAAATTCCAGGTGGTCAAAATAAATGTCCTGTCAAATGCATTCTATAAATGATAAAACACTGTGATGTGATAAGATCCGCTCTTATAAGTGATAATTGACCTTCACTAAAATCTTGTGCCGTTTACTAAAGTTTTACTACCGAGTGTAGGTTTAGTTGCAGCGATGACCGCTGCTTGAACTAACCTAAACTATGTGAGTGGATGTATACTGCTGCGAAAAGATTGTAGCTGTAACGTGGATGAACAAACTGTTAATAGGGCGGGCAAGTCTCATCGATAACAACTTTGAGGAAACTACACCGACAAAACACTTGCTTTTAAGTCGCCTGTAAAATGTACAACAACGCTAAAACTAGTTTTCATCATAATTGAATTACAGCAATACAATTTTGTGCGAGAATTTACCAACAGACTGTTTGCTTGCGCCACCGTTACAACAAAACAAAATCATTTCTGTATAATATTGCATAATAATATTATTGTAAGTCAGCCGATAATAGGTTTAAAGAAAAGTAAATGAAAAACGTGCACGGTTTAAGAGTAAGATCGGTCGCTTTCATCGTGTACGTTGTCGTCCGTTCTAGTTTTCTACTACACTCCCTTTTGACCACAATCCCGTCGCCATTTATTGATCCTTTTGTATTGCTGAAAGCATTATTTATTTCCATTGCATAAGACCATTTGTACTAGTAAAAAAACAACGATGGCTCCAAAAGTAAAATTAGTAAAATGTGAATTTTGGATTTCACACTACTACATGAAAATCAAAAAACGCCTTTTAAATGACTTTTTTTTTTTGACAAATATTTCTACCAGAAGAATTACGGTCATCACAACACTAAGTATAATGATAATCATTGTCACAGCATTGAGCTCAGCTTCGGTTGAAAGTACAAAGCGAAATCGGCTGGATGTTTGATCCTAGGGCCACGTACTACTTTGAATTTGACCAAATTACCCTTTTTCGCATTTACATAGAATTGGGTTGGAAACTAATTTAAACAACATGACCTCCCCCCACGGCGAGTCTACCTCGAATGTTATTAATTTAATTTAAAACTGAACTGACGGGTTTTCCGAACGGTCCTTCGAAATGTACAGTAAAGTAATATCGTAATATCATAGTTTAAACCGAATTTTCTCGCTCGTTGTAATATAATTATGTATTGTAAAAAAAATCCTTCTAAAAAAATATAGTATTTTATTTTAAAAACATGTAATTTTTTTTGTTATTAGGCACAATATTTTAAAGTAAAAAAAAAAACTTTTTTTTTAAGTATTAATAGCATTACATTATCGTTGATGTAGTTTTAGAAATTTCAGTTTGATAACCTTTGGTGAGATATGAACTGTATTTACAGTTTTATTTAGCAGCATGTGTACATTTTTTTTTTTTACTTTACTTACTATCGTATTAAAATAAGTAACCCCGCTTCATGCCGAACGCTTCTTTAAGTCCCTGATTCATACAAGTGTTGTTAACTCTTACAGCAATTAGTAAATCTATGTAAATTAATAGATTAAGTGGTTTAATAATAGTTGACAAAACAACAAAATATGGTTAAGTTAACTAGAAAAAAAATATGTTGGTTGTTATTTTTTGTAATTTAAATAACGCCAAAAGAACTCGAAAATATTATTTTAATATTTTATTGTTTGCTTTACTTGAATAGAAGAGTATATTGTATATTTATCATTACTAGAGTGATAATATACATTTTACGGTAGGTACGTCTTTACATGTATTTGTACCTATTTGTGTTAATGGACTTTAACAATCACCAATGAGTTATGACCTACTTGACAGACTACTTGTATCAGTGTGCCGATCTTGGGCAGGTGTTCAGGATACATTACTACAGCAATTAGATAAATTGCTGTAGTATTTTCTATTTGAAAAGGTGTTGTGCGAGTTATAATTAATATAATTGCTCGAAGTTTACAACATAGGTACAATACTTACAATAATTATTTAACATTTGTTAGATATTTTTTTACCAAATTACAATTGTCGTAGGGCGTCAGCCGTCATCGGAACCGCCCCGTAATTGACCATAACGTTTGATTATTATTACTAATGACAGACGACTCCCATAATATAACGTGAACAGACATATAATATTATAATAATGTTTGACTCGTACACTGTAACACGATGGGTTCATTTAATTTCTAGCCGCACAAACGTTTATTAGGAGTTAAACGAATCGTTAAATATTTAACGATCCCTCGAACAACATCAAATCAAAGAGACCTGTTGATTTGATAAATTATTCATAATTAACAATCTGGGCATTAAACAGGTATATCGAACCCTTTTTTTTTTGTAAACATTTATTCGAGACGAGATCCACAAAACCCCTTACATTTTTTAGTTTTTAACGATATCGCATTGTGCACGAAATGTGCATCTTCCAAATCAACGGTGGATATAATTGGTGGGATTTGTTTACATAATGTTATATTACAATTTACACGTGTACACTAGGGGGGTGTATTTGAATAATAACATTTTCTAACGCTTACAATGCTGGTTAATAGCCAATAATAGCCAATTTCGGTTTTTGCGTCGTGACAAAATATATAAAAAACCGACAAGTTATTATTTGCACAGAAACATCGACGATTAAAAAAAAAACATATACATTATTATTATAAACGTCAAAAATATATCGGGTGGGTGAACGATGCCACGCATTAGGTTGACAACCTCGTTAAATACCGTTCAATAAAAAAATATGTATTAGCCCAACGGAAATTTCAATCCGACCGTCGCCCGTTATAATTTATTTCATTATTTAGTTATTCGTGTTTCGCGGAAATATTATTTAGTGGGTAATTGTATAAAATATTATAATGTAATGCCGCGACGGTGTGTGTATTTAAATATCAAATAATAATAATAATTTTTTCATCTTGTATGCGGCCGTCGGTCGACGGCGTTCAAAAAATGTCATGGATGTAGTACGCATTGCAATCGTGTGTGTACGAACATTGTTTTTAAATATTATTATTATTATAAAAAACGTGTTTATTGCGTGTTGATGTTATACATTTTGCGGAATACGCCGTGCAGAAGCGACGACGGAGAAGAATAAGACAAAAAATTAATAATAATAAGAAGAAGACATTAAAGATAAATCCTCGGAATCGCGTAATACGGAGGAGGTTGCATTCTCGGAATCGTGCCGCCGCGCCACAGTCATTCACCGTTCGGCCGGCATACTATCTCCCCCCCCCCCAAAAATTTTATTTTATTTTACACACACTTGGGTCCCACGCCGTCGGCGTACCTACCTCGTCTTCAATCGCATTTCCAACGCGTTCCGAATGCGTGTCTTGGTCACTTAAAGGGCGACCGTGTTGGAAAAATTGATTTTCTACCCTATCTGGTCGGTGTGTTTGTGTGTATTCCAGACACGCACGCGGACCTGGAAGGCTTCTTGTCAAATTGCGCGTTTGGTGTTACGCCATAATAATATTATAGTAATAGGTCCACAGAAGAAAAATAAATGTCGAACCAACACCGAATCTAAAATATCGTATATATTATTACAAATCAGTTCGGGACCGATAGACATATTATGAGGGAGTTAAAAAAACCCTAGCGGTGTAAGTCGCGTTTCCATCAAATAGTCGAGTCATGTTTGAAAAGTAAATTTATCTAAAAGCAAAGTAAACCTAGTAATAACTACCTTACCTCTACCACCAAATGTGAGTTTTTATTAAACCTTTTTTTGTCTCTCTAATTAAGATTTTAATGTGACTTATACCACTGTGGTTTTAACCCCCTCGATGATTGTAATAACACCCCGTCGAGTATACTGTATACTGTATAGCAATAATTTCAATACGCGCTCGAGGGCTACACCACAAAATAATGAACTCTCTCCCGCATTTACCACCAACGCGAAAAATATATAATAATATACTAATACCTAACAACCCCAAACTGATCGTTTCGCCGGCGTCGCGTCCTTCGGTTCGGATTTATAGTATTATTATATTATCAAAACGCATGTATGTACGTATAGTGTAGGTATTTTGTTATTATTTATATTTTATAATATACTTAACATAATGCGTCTTGTGTTGTCGGGTTTTTAGTTACACACACTCGGACACAAGGGGCCGCCTCAGCGGCGATCACCGTCGGTGTGTCGCGTCTCTATTGTGTTTGTGTGTGTGGTTTTTTTTTTTACAGACAAGCGCGTGTGTGCTCTGGTTCTGGGAAAAAAGGTGAACTGCCTGTGGCATTT